TGACTTGAAAAACTTGCCAAGCATATGTACAAGCTTGCTCCAAATTCCAACAAGATAAGGGATTGTGATCTGATCACATCCCATTGTGGGTGTGCTTTCTTTTTCTTCCTCTGGTGAGCATATACACCCTCTGATAAAAATAAATAAGACCAAAATATAAGCTCTATTAATACAAACCCCTTTAAAGAATAAAGTAAAAATATAGAAAAAAAATAATACCATGCAGAAACTAATTTTAAAAATAAAGCGGCTACACTAATATCAAATATTTAATAGTAAAGAATATTATCTGTGGTAAAGAGAGGCATTTTATAGTAAAAGAGTGGTCAGTTCATTAGGAGGACATAAAAATCTTAAATGTATATGCACAGAGCTTCAAAATACATGAAGCAAAAACATAGGACTAAAACAATTATAGTTTGATATTTTAACACTAAATTGTATAGCGCACTTTAAAATATCCCCTGTTCAGAAAGAAGTTTAGGGAAAATAGAAAAAAATTAATTTTTAATTGCCGAAGGTACGTGCACTCACCAGAGAGAAAAAAAGCATTCCCCGCCCAACCAGTGCAGCATGGTCATACCACAATACCTTCTTCATTTCTCTATCCTCTTGGGATTTGGGGCACACATGCACATGTGCACATATATACATGCACACCTGGTGTTTTTCAAGCTACTGGGACCAGGATTCAAACTGTAGTCAGCCATGTGGCATCAGCTTCCTTAGTCACTGCTACAGGGCCAGTCCTAGAAAATATTTTTTAAATTAATAAAAAAATGAAGCTGAATATAAACATTTGTAGGATGCAGCAAAGATTCACCACTGGATAGACTGATGAGGAAAGAGAAAATTATCAATATCATTAATTGAAGGGGGGCATCACTACAGATCCTGGCTACACTGAAATAGTAAGGATATTTTATACAAAACTTTATGCCAATTAATTTGATAGTCTTGATTAAATTGGCACTGTCTTTAAAAAGACAAACTATCGGAACCAGCAGTTAGCGTAATGGCTATGTCACTGGACTCCCATGTAGTCGACCACGGTTTGCGTCCCGGACCCGGTGGCTTAAAAACTCAAGCTGGGCGCGTGTGCGTGCATGCCCAAGATCCTGAGAGGAGAATGGAGGAGAAGGGATTGTGGCATGGCCATCCTCCCTGGGGGGGGATTTCTCGCTTTCTGTCTCTCTGTCTCTCTCTGTCTACCTGGCAAGCACACGCATCCTATAGCAAAAACCTCTCTTAAAAAAAAAAAAGTATGCCAACTATCAAAGTTGACTCAAATAGATACCTGGGTCAGCTTGTAGCATAGTGTTTAAGGTGGCTGGTCTCATGTGGGATCCTTAACCACAGCATGGTTTAAGTCCCAGGGCTGGTTGTAGGGAGCAGTCCAATCTGAAAAATTATGGTGACCTTTAGACATGCCACTCCCTACATCTGGTAGCTTGAAAAACATGCTGGACACGTGTGCATGTATGCCCAAAATCCCAAGGGGAGAATAGAGAAGAGATTGCAGCATGGTCCTCTTCCATGGGGAATGCTTTCTCACATTCATTCTTTCTGCCTCTCCAGCG